CATGACTCGGTAGTTAGACCTGGCATGATTTGGTAGTTAGGCCTGGCATGATCCGGTAGTTAGGCCTGGCATGATCCGGTAGTTAGGCCTGGCGTGACTCGGTAGTTAGACCTGGCATGATTTGGTAGTTAGACCAGGCATGACTCGGTAGTTAGGCCTGGCATGATTCGGTAGTTAGACCTGGCATGATCCGGTAGTTAGGCCTGGCATGACCCAGTGGATAGGCTAATGACATCTTCAGAAACAACAACATATCTTAAAAAGAACATAAAGACATGCCAATACATGTCTTCAGAAACCATCAATACATACTAATAATATCTTCAGAAACAACGTCTTCATATGTTGAAAGATTTTTTTTACGATCGTAGAAACTATACAACAATGTTTTAGCTATGTTTTGATGGATAATGTATCTGCAATAATAAAAATGCAACGATTGGCCCACAGAACAGTTTCTTTTGGTCTGATGGATGTATTTGTATTCAATATTTGTAACTGGTTATTCTAATCCAATACAAAATTGTCATGCTATCTTAATAGATTGTTCACACACTAAAACAGTCTAACTTGCAATCGTTAGATTGTTCACAAACTAAAACAGTCTAACTTGCAATCGTTAGATTGTTCACAAACTAAAACAGTCTAACTTGCAATCGTTAAATTGTTCACAAACTAAAACAGTATAACGTGTAATCGTTAGATTGTTCACACACTAAACAGTATAATGTGTAATCGTTAGATTGTTCACACACTAAAACAGTTTAATGTGTAATCGTTAGATTGTTCACACACTAAAACAATATAATGTGTAATCGTTAGATTGTTCACACACTAAAACAGTTTAATGTGTAATCGTTAGATTGTTCACACACTAAAACAGTTTAATGTGTAATCGTTAGATTGTTCACACACTAAAACAGTATAATGTGTAATAGTTAGATTGTTCACACACTAAACAGTATAATGTGTAATAGTTAGATTGTTCACACACTAAACAGTATAATGTGTAATCGTTAGATTATTCACACACTAAACAGTATAATGTGTAATCGTTAGATTGTTCACAAATAAAACAGTTTAATGTGTAATCATTAGATTGTTCACAATGTAAAACAGTATAATGGGTAATCGTTAGATTGTTCACACACTAAAACAGTATAATGTGTAATAGTTAGATTGTTCACACACTAAACAGTATAATGTGTAATCGTTAGATTGTTCATACACTAAACAGTATAATGTATAATCGTTAGATTGTTCACACACTAAAACAGTTTAATGTGTAATCATTAGATTGTTCACAAAGTAAAACAGTATAATGGGTAATCGTAAGATTGTTCACACACTAAACAGTATAAGTGTAATCGTTAGATTGTTCACACACTAAACAGTATAATGTGTAAGCGTTATATTGTTCACACACTAAACAGTATAATGTGTAATCGTTAGATTGTTCACACACTAAACAGTATAATGTGTAATCGTTATATTGTTCGCACACTAAAACAGTTTAATGTGTAATCATTAGATTGTTCACAAACTAAAACAGTATAACGTGTAATCGTTAGATTGTTCACACACACTAAAACAGTTTAATGTGTAATCATTAGATTGTTCACACACTAAAACAGTTTAATGTGTAATCGTTAGATTGTTCACACACTAAAACAGTATAATGTGTAATCGTTAGATTGTTCACACACTAAAACAGTATAATGTGTAATCGTTAGATTGTTCACACACTAAACAGTATAATGTGTAATCGTTAGATTGTTCACACACACTAAAACAGTATAATGTGTAATCATTAGATTGCTCACAAACTAAAACAGTATAACGTGTAATCGTTAGATTGTTCACACACACTAAAACAGTATAATGTGTAATCATTAGATTG